ATCACATTTTCCAGCCATTTTTGAAAGAGCAACACACTATGCAACATGCCTTTGGTGTCAGACACATGGTTTACATAAGAGTGGCCTCTGCTTAATCATACCCTATTGAACAAGATACCAATGGTTGGGATCAAATGTCCCTCTGAGTCATAACCCACAGAGAATTCAAGCCAACAATTATTTATACAGCAGTTTGTGCACTGCCCATTTCAGAGATTCTGGCTGGGGGAATTCTGGGAGTTGAAGCGCATGCACCTTAAAGTTGCTGATTTTAAGAAACACTGCAGATGGTTTTATATTATAATAATCTGTTGGCATATCTTTCAACATATAATTCAACAATCTCCTACCATAAATAATCAAAACCCCAATTTTGCACCCACTCATACGCTAAAGATCTGGATCTCAATAGTACACCCATATCTTGCTGTTTGTGAATCCACCCACCTCTTGCAGACACAACAAATCACACAGGTTCCAGCCACATGATGTACAAACACAGAACAAATAAATCACATTTGTCTTTAAAGCTCTGTCTCCGAATTCCTTTCTCCTCCTCCACATGTTCAGGCCTGTCTTTGCAAAAACTGAAGGCAAGAAATATGCTTTGTAAAAGCATTAAACGTGAGACTTGTTGGGTTGCCAATTTTATAGGTGATACCAGTTCTTACATGGCGGAGAGTCACATTAACCAAATACAGGTCATCCTCTACTTACAACCATAATTGAGGCCAAAATTTCTGTTGCTAAGCAAGAGAGTTGTTAAGTGAGTTTTGCCCCGTTTTGTGACTGTCTTGCCACAGCTGTTAAGGGAATCACTGCAGTTGTTAAGTTAGTAGCATGGTTGTTATGTGAATTTGGTTTCCCCATTGACTTTGCTTGCCAGAAGTCTGCAAAAGGTGATCACATGACCCCAGGACACTGCAATAAATACATGCCAGTTGCCAACTATCTGAATTTTGATCATGTGACCATGGGGATTCTGCAATGGTCTTAAGTGTGAACAAACTCTCTCCCTATATTGGACAGGAATGGTATTTGGTTGAATTAAAATTTGAATCTAATTAAAACCCAACTTATCTATTTTTGTAATTTTCCTTTTCAGACACTTTTCAAATTGTAATTTGGTGGCATCTTCTTCAAGACCTTGAGGCCTAAACTTATGGCTCCCACGGAGCACAGTTGTAGGCCTCCAGAATACAGCGTCTTTGACAACAGGATGCTGGTTTGATCTTGGTTCATGTTGACATTATGTCAGAAAGGAGAACTTTAGCTCAGCTCCTGACAGATTTCCACTGAAGCAGCCTCTGATTCTGCCAGATGACCTGAACTGGGCAAAGGGCCTGTTCCATCAAGCAATACTTTTATTAATAGAGTGGATGAGTGAACAATTTCATTGGACATTATAACCATGCAATGGTGAGGATAGAAAAGACAGGAATTCAGTTCCTTAGTCTATTTAGGGCTTGGAAGACAACCAAGCAAGAGTGTCTGCAGCGGTTGGTCAAAAAGACAAGATGGCATCCAAAAAAAAATTTTTTTTTGATATTATTTTTATAAAACCTTATTAAGATAGATTTGGTATGATCTTATGATTCGTTGCAAAATAAATTAAGTAAATTATAGTTATCTCGTTAAAGTATGAATTAATAAAATTATAGTTAAAGGATTTCACAGTAATGATACTAGATTATACAATTGTTGATTGATAATATGAGCTATTATGTAATATAACTATATTAGCGTTTAGGAAACGGATGCACACAAAAAAAGTGGTAAACCAACTGATACACTGTTTGTAAATTTATGAAGAAGGATGATGTTTTTATGTTTTATGTTGTATGTTTTTTGTTTGTTGTTAAAATAAAAAACTTTTTAAAAAAAGACAAGATGGCATCTTTGACAGTGCCAAAACATGTAAACACAACATTTCTCATAGGCTAAGCAATAAACATCCATATGAAACTGGGGTTTTCTGCCTCAATAGCAACCTGTCTATATTAGCGGGCCAGATTCAATGGCCTTGGATGTTGATAAAGAGAAAATGGATCATTTCTGTATTTTGCTATTCTGGAATCATCCAAGTCAGAAATTCTGAAATGCTGTTACAGTGTCTTAGAACTCTGCTCATGCTCTGAAAGTCAACTGGATTAAAAGTAACTCACTACACTGTTAATTTGTTAATTTTTTTAATTTAAAAGCTCATGCACAAAGAATGAAGCCTTCCTTTTCTCTCTTCCTTCCCCTGCCTATTTTACTGTATAGGATTTTTGGTTTTAAAAAGGACGTCCTACTAAACTTTTTGCCATGGGCTACACTGTCAAGCAGTTAAGCCACTACTTGTGTTCTTAATGTATTTTATAAAGTTCTATTATTGGATTTGCAAAGCCTCCCATGCTTAAACTTTGGGAAAGAAAAGCCAAATGGGCTTACTTTTCCATATTTCCAGACCTAGAGTCTTCCAAAGATTGCAAATGGCGTTCACATGACCCCAGAACACTACATGCCAATTGCCAAGCACTCAAATTTTGATCACATGGCTGAGGGGATGCTGCAACAAATTGTAAGAGCGAGAACCAGTTAGAAGTCACATTTATCAGTGATGTTGTTAACTTTGAACGTTCGCTAAACAAATTGCTGTAAGTTAAGGACTATCTGTACCTCAAAAGGTCAGGTTGGAAGAGCAATATTATCTGATATTAGTTCTTCTATAAATACTTCTCAATCTTGGCATGTTTTAAGATATGTGAACTTCAACTAATGGCTTGCTGGGGAATTCTGGGA